GTTCTTTGGGACTCGCTGGCAGAAGGAATTTGGTGAACCTTCATAGAGCCCTATGGAGGATACACTATGCTGCTGCAATGTCAGTTTCCTCAAGACTATAATAAAACTGTTTTTATTGCAAGTCTTTGTTTATTCTGAGCCTTTGCTTTCCTGACTTCATCTTTGCAGATTCGGGCTATCTGCTGATATTCTGCCTTAGTTATGTGTCCCTCTTTCCATTTTTGTTCCCTCTTTCCATTTTTGTACTTACCCTTTTTGTCTTTTAGTTTATTAGAGAGATCTTTGTGTGACCATACTAGTTTCTTCTTGGATTTTTTGTTTTTCTTTTTTAATGGTATTGTGTTGGACTGGGCTTCACATTAACTACTAGTACTGCTTTACAAAGTCTTAGTAAGAGCACACCTCAAATACTACATCTAGGTTCAGTCACCACATTATAAAAAAGGTTGTTGAGACTTTGGAAAAAGTGCAGAGAACAGCAACAAAGATGATTAGGGGCCTAGAGACTAAAACATATGATGAATGGTTGCAGGAATTGGGTATGGCTAGTCTAGTGAAAGAAGGACTAGGGTGACATATCAGCAGTGTTCCAATATCTGAAGGGCTGCCACAAAGAAATGAAGGTCAACCTACTTTCCAAAGCATCCAAAGGGAAGACAAGAAACAACAAATGGAAGTTAATCAAAGAGAGATTCAACCTGGAATTAAGGAGATATTTTCTGACAATGATCAACCAGTGGAACAGCTTGCCTTCAGAAGTTGTGGGATGCTCCATCACATAAGGCTTTAAAAAGAAGAAACTGGACAGCTATTTGTCTGAAATGGTATAGGGTTTCCTGCTTGAATAGAGGATTGGACTAGAAGACTTAAAGTCCCTTCCAACTCTGATATTTTGTTTTACCACTGAATTGCATTTTGTTGTATAGTGCCCAGTGTTCAAATCTGTCAAGATTCTTCTGAATCTTATCTTCCAAAGAGTTAGTTATTCCCTCTAGCTTGGTGTCATCTACAAATTTGATGGGCATCATTCTGTCCTTCAATTGATTCTTTTGTAAGAATAGCAATAGCAATAGCACTTACTGCTGGCAGCTGGTGATCAGCAGAAGTAGCCTGCAGTACTGCACTGTGCCACCGTGGCTCTTAAGAATATTAAAGAGTACTGGACCAAAGACAGTATTCTTCCTTTCATGTATATGTAGTTTCATTAAGGCAGACTTGGGCATTTTATGGCCTACAGGCCACATCCGGCCCTTTGACTTTTCCTGGGCAGCCTGCTATGCGGGTGGTAGCAGGGGAGCAGCAGCCCTCCACAGCGCTTCCAGTTTTTCATGTGGCTCTTCGGGAAAATTAATAGCCGACCTTTGCATTAATGACTACATACTGAGTGCAGGTGGTCAGCCAATTGCTAATCCATCTGATTGCGGTACTGTATCCCATAATGTTCTATTCTAACCTAGGAGTAAACTATGTTCTAATTTGTCAAATGCCTTACTGAAGTCTTAAGTAAACATGTCCACAGCATTTTGCTGATCTACTAATTTAGTCACTTTGTCAAAGAAGGCAAAAAACTTAGTTTGGCATGGTCTGTTTTTAATAAAACCATGTGGCTTCTAGTAATTATCTTGTTTGTTTCTAGGGGCTCATAAATCAGCTGCTTGATTATCTTTTTCAGGATTTTTCTAGGTATTCATTTTTTATGTTAATATTAATTAATTACAGATTGATCTATAGTTTCCTGAATTCTGTTTTTCTTTTTGAAGATTGGAACCATATCAGCTCTTTTCCGGTCCTCTAGTAGTTTCCCCCATGTTCCAGGAGATCTGAAAGATACAGTTCAATGGTTCTGAGATTACATCTGGCAGTCCCTTTGAAACCCTGGGATGTAATCCATCTGATCCTAGTACTTGTTTAGAGTGGATAAGTGTTTTCTTACCATTTTCTTGGCCTATTTTGATTTGTATTCCTATTCTGTCTTCTGTGTTGCTGCTTTTGATAGGTTGGATTATTTTTTTCTAGATAGAGATAGAGGTAAAGAATGAAAATCAGTTTTGGGACAGCTATACTGGACCTAATTCTTACAAATAGAGAAAAAGTGTTAGAGGAGGTTGAAGCTGCAGAAACTTTGGCGGGGAGTTACCATGTCATATTGGAATTCGATAAAATGCAGGCACAAGCAACAGAACATAAACAACCAGGGTCTCAGACTTTAAAAGAGGTGATTTTAACAAACTTAGAGCTTGGGAAGGATTTCATGGATGAAAATTTAAAAGGGGGGGGGGGGACTCAAGATGTTTCGGAAACTCTGAAAAATATGATTATAAAAGCCCAGTCCAGCTCAATACCACTGAAAAAGAAAAATAAGAAATTCAAGAGGAAACCGGCATGGTTGCATAAAAAACTTTGATAAGTTGAAAGAAAAAAAAAAGATAAGTATAAAAATTGGACAAAGGGAGACATACCTGAGACAGAATATCAGCAAATAGCCCGAATCCGCAAATATGAATTCAGGAAAGCTAAGGCTGATATTCTGTCTTAGTTATGTCTCCCTTTCTCCAGTTTTTATACTTATCCTTTTTTAAAATTATTATTATTGACATTTTGAAGTAAGACTTGCAACAAATGTCAATAATAATAATAAAAATTCTTTGAACACGTAAAAAACAAAATAGTCAAGGAAACTAACAGTAAACTAATGAGAGAAATGGCAAGGAATTGAGGGTAGCAGAGAGAAAGCAGAGCTGCTTTCTCTTTGCATCTGTCTTCATGCAAAAAGAAAATAAATAGCCCGACTTACTAAAATCAGAACCAAGACAGACTAGGAATACAGATTTAAAAAGCAAGAAAGTGAGAACATCTGTCCACCCTAAACAAGTCCAAATAACCAGGATCTGATCGATTACGCTCCAGAGTTCTAATAGAAATGGCAGACATGATCTCAGAAGCATTGAAGCCTAACATCAATACTTGGGAGGATCCTGGAAAAGATAATCAAACAACAGATCTACAAACATTTAGAAGCATGCAAAATTATAACCAGAACCAAACATGCCAAAGAAATCTTACTTCATTCTTAGACAAAGACTTAATTGGTGGAAATGCTGTGAACATAGTGTACTTGGAATAAACATTTGACAAGGTAGACCATAACTTACTTCTTTGTAAACTAGAAAAATGTGGGATAGGCATCATCACCAACGGATGGATTTGTAGCTGCCTGACAAACTGCATTCAACATGTAGTTTTTAATGGAACTACGTCTACATGCAGGGAGGTAAGAAGTGGGGTACCCCAAGTTATTCATCCATGCAGATTTGGGCTTTTTGCTGGTATAATTGTTTTTAAATGTCAGGGCTACTGTACATTTAAAAAAAATACATGATAAGCAAAAGGATATTGAACTGGAATTCAAAGGCATTCCCTTGTTTCTCATATTGCGTGAATACATTGAACAATTAGGTTTTGTTAACCCAGTTTAAAGTTTTTTGTGTTGTGTAAACTCAGACAGAGTATAAATTATAGTCTGGATCATTGAGAAGCTTGAAAAGGCTAAGGGGCAAGGAGATGCAACGGCAAAGGGCCAGAAATGAAAGAGTATTTTTGTGTTTTATTTTTATTTTCTTATTTATCCATAAAATCTATATGGCCACCAGTCTCACAAGAAAGAGACTTCTTTGTTTAGCTGCTGTGAAAGGAGGACTGGATCGGGCAGTGACTAGAATTTAGGCTGACATCTTGCTTCAAAAATGGAAAGGCATCAGAAAAGGCAGACAAAGTAAAGGAAAATGATAGCTCTCCACTAATACTGATCAGCAAGAGGGAAGGACAACCATCTTTTGGTAACTGATTTGCTTTGGTGGTTTTGGCATCTTCAGTGGGAAATCAGAAGGATGAAGGTATCTCTGTGCAACTTCTGCTGCAATCTGGAGTGACAATAAAAATTATTGAAAGCAAATATACATGTCCCAGGATAATGTTGCAAAGTCTAATCTGGGTCAATCATCAGGACCAGAGGTTTTGTCTTTTGAGCTTTCAGACTCTTGCTGGAGCCCATCTTCTCTCTAGTAGAGTTTGTGCATGTATGTGGTATTTATATAGTGCCTGTTGTATGTGACTTTAGATGTTGATTGGGGTATGTTTATGGATGGCTTTTAAGACATTAACTGTCATATTTGGGTTGTCCAGCCGTCGCCTTCTAAGTACTGGTGGTAAATCAGCACTCTGACTGAACTGAAGAAGTTTCTTGGATGAGAAGCAAAACGTCTTCAAGGAAAAACAAAGTCCAGTTACCTTTTGAAAAAGCACTTTTGAGATAGAGAAGAAAGAGAAAATCTGGACTCATTCTCTTCCAATAGTTTTATTTTGGACAGGAGATTTCAGGGATCAAGGATAAGAGGCATTTTTATTGTGGTCCACTATGCCCTTGTAACAAACAGTACAGATTTAATTTTCTGTGTGCTTTAGGCTTTATGTTGTAAAAAGACAAAGGGTGTCTTTAAAATGGGGAAAATATTTCCTGTAGTAGAGGCTTGAAGACATCCCCAAAAAGTATAGAGAAACAATATAAACTCTGGAGGAAAAATGAAAGAGAGCACTATCTAAATGCTTTTTGTATAATTTTTTTTCCTTTTAAAAGAAATTCTTTCATTACTGTATCACATTAAAAAAGAACATTTTTAAATATTTACAAAATGTTGATTGCAACTATCAATTATCAATGGATAGTGAGATTATTATTATTGATCTAAGCATGTATAGGAAGGGCCACTTTAGTATAATGGTTAAGATATCAGGCTAGAAACTAGAAGGCAGTGAGTTCTAATCATAGCCACTGCAGAATAAACATGTCGTCTTTCTCCAAATGAGTCTGTTAAGGCACTCACACAGGATCTTTCACATTAGAAAGGCTAATAGGCACTTTATCCAAGCTGTGACTTAATGAGCGAGATTGTACTGGCATTGTTGCTGGAGATTAAGTGAATGTGTGTTTGTCTGCCTTTCAGGTATACAGGTACAACTCCTTCACCACCGCCGGGTTCACACTATACATCTCCTTCAGAGAACATGTGGAACACAGGTGGCGCCTACAACATGAACACAGGGATGGCTGTTGCTGGTACTGTATTTCTTGCTTCTCGGCTAAGATACTGTTTTTCATCCACCTGTTGTTTATTTTGGGTCTAGGACATGAGCAATCAGGATATCAGTAGGTTGCATTGTATCTTTCCATAAAGTTAAAAGGATGGCCTTAAAGAGCTCAGTTCTGAAAGGACAGGATCGATGTTTTTAGGAATGCTTTAGAGGAATGCTGCTGCTTGGGACATGGCAGCTTTTTCCTCTGGGTAAATACACTGCTCAAAAAAATAAAGGAAACACTTAAACAACACAATGTAACTCCAAGTCAATCACACTTCTGTGAAATCAAACTGTCCACTTAGGTAGCTACACTGATTGACAATCAATTTCACATGCTGTTGTGCAACAGGTGGAAAGCAGAGGCAGTTAGCAAGACATCCCCAATAAAGGAGTGGTTCTGCAGGAGGTGAGCACAGACCACTTCTCAGTTCCTATGCTTTCTGGCTGATGGTTTGGTCACTTTTGAATGCTGGCGGTGCTGTCACTCTAGTGGTAGCATGAGAGGGAGTCTACAACCCACACAAGTGGCTCAGGTAGTGCAGCTCATCCAGGATGGCACATCAATGCGATCCGTGGCAAGAAGGTTTGCTGTGTCTGTCAGCGTAGTGTCCAGAGCATGGAGGCGCTACCAGGAGACAGGCCAGTACATCAGGAGACGTGGAGGAGGCCGTAGGAGGGCAACAACCCAGCATCAGGACCTCTACCTCTGCCTTTGTGCAAGGAGGCACAGGAGAAGCACTGCCAGAGCCCTGCAAAATGACCTCCAGCGGCCCACAAATGTGCATGTGGCTGTTCAAATGGTCAGAAACACTCTTATGATGGTGGTATGAGAGCCCGACGTCTACTGTGCAGGACGTTTGGCATTTGCCAGAGAACACCAAGATTGGCAAATTTGCCTCAGGCGCCCTGTGCTCTTCAGAGATGAAAGCAAGTTCACACTGAGCACATGTGACAGACATGACAGGGTCTGGAGACACCATGGAGAACGTTCTGCTGCGTGCAACATCCTCCAGCATGACTGGTTTGGCAGTGGGTCAATAATAATGTGAGGTGGCATTTCTTTAAGGGGCCGCACAGCCCTCCATGTGCTCGGCAGAGGTAGCCTGACTGCCATTAGGTACTGAATGAGATCCTCAGACCCCTTATGAGACCATATGCTGGTACGGTTGGCTCTGGGTTCCTCCTAATGCAAGACGATGCTAGACCTCATACAGCTGGAGTGTGTCAGCAGTTCCTGCAAGACGAAGGCATTGATGCTATGGACTGGCCCGCCCATTCCCCACACCTGAAATCCAATTGAGCACCTCTGGGACATCATATTTCGCTCCATCCACCCACGCCACATTGCACCACAGACTGTCCAGGAGTTGGGGATGCTTTAGTCCAGGTGTGGGAGATCCCTCAGGAGACCATCCGCCACCTCATCAGGAGCATGCCCAGGCGTTGTAGGGAGGTCATACAGGCACGTGGAGGCCACATACACTACTGAGCCTCATTTTGACTTGTTTTGAGGACATTACATCAAAGTTGGATCAGCCTGTAGTGTTTTTTCCCACTTTAATTTTGAGTGTAACTCCAAATCCAGACCTCCATGGGTTGCTAAATTTGATTTCCATTGATAAATTTTTGTGTGATTTTATTGCCAGCACATTCAACTATGTAATGAATGAAGTATTTAATGAGAATATTTCATTCATTCAGATTTAGAATGTCTTATTTTTGTGTTCCCTTTATCTTTTTGAGCAGTGTAGTATAAGCTTGACACATGTATGTTCTATTGGCATCTTCCGCCATTCCCGGAAAAGTCTTGATTATGTTACAATAATGGTTATGTAGTGTATTACATTTGTGTTATCTATTGAGATAATATCCAGAGCAGAAAAAAAACTAAGTTGTCTCTTACCAAGTACATGCATAAAGTTGCTTTTTATCATCTTTCCTCTTCCAGTTCCCAATCAACATTGACTGTTCTTATTCTCCTGACTGGGAAGTTGAGTCTAAAGCAAGGGTGTCAAAATCATGGCGTCACGTCATCATGTGACATATCACAACTTTTTTTCTCCTTTGGGGGAAAAAAATGGGTGGGCGTGGCCAGCACATGACGTATGCGGGCCGCAAGTTTGACACCCCTGGTTTAAAGAGTCCTTATCCACTGATGTCAACCACAACTGTGCTATCACTTGTCTGCCATGCTTCTCCATTCTAGAATATAATTTTGTGTATTCACGTATTTTGCTGCCCTGCATCCATTATACATAGGTAGAAAAGCTTTCAGATTGGGCAGCCAATTTGTGGCTTATAGAGTGTGGTGCTGTATCTGCACCTGCCTAAAGAGGCTCCTATGTCTGTAAGTGCTTTTTAAGTATCCAAGTGTTTTTCCTATCCCAGAAAAAGGTCTGTGTCTTGAACAGCACCTTGCTCACATTTGACTCTTATTCGTTTCTAATGTGCTGCAGGAATGCCCACAGCCTATGATCTCAGCAGTGTGATTGCAGGTGGCACTAATGTTGGCCACAACAACCTTATTCCTCTAGGTGAGTTTATTTGTATTGTGCAGTAGATTCTGGCTTAAAGGGGGAATCCTAGGAAGCAGTCTTGGTGGCAGACCTGAGGAGCCCAGATCATCACCATCACCTTAGTATTCTTTGGGGCTTTATACCTGGCTCAACACTTGTAGGCAAGCCCTTTGGAAAGCTAATATATCCTGCTTCATCTAAATACTCTCCTCTGAATGCCTGGTAGGGTGTATGGACCCTTGGCCACAGAATTACCTTTCCATTTTTTGACCTTGTATTTTGTCTTTGTTTACCCTCTTGTGAGAAAAATGTACTCTACCGCCATAGAACTCAACATGAATTTAGTTCCAGAGTTCTGTTATTTTACAGTTTTCTGGTTCAGAAAAACAAGTTTTGAAATGGTTGAGTTTTAAATATCTGTTTCCGTACAGTGTAATTGAACAAAAGTACCTGCAACGTAAGTGTCTAAACTTGCTATTTGCATTAATATTGACAATTGAATGTTTATGTAATAGATGGATAAAACTATTATGGCCAGAAGGCAGCAAATGTATTAGGAATAATTCTCATTGCCCCTGTTTTTTCTCTTTTGATCTCTGTGTTTTTGTATCTTGACTTCCCTGAATAGAATATAATTTTTATTATGGCACAGACCAGAATTACAGATAGAAATATATTAAAATTGTTAGACAAAACAGGATGAAAAACAATGCAATTGGTGGTGGGTTCATCAGTAGGCAGTCAAAATCTCCCTAATTTTACAAGCAATATAACCTGATTTCCCTGATGGGTAAGAAAACAAGGGTCTGCAGAAAGACTTGTCAAGTCTGAATTCTACATATTTAAATACCTACAGAAATTGTGTTTCCATCTACATGAATGGTATAGATTAGGCAAGATCACTACAGAGCTCAGAGCTTTGACTTTTAATAAAAAGTCAAACAACTCTCAGTTCTTAGTGGCCTTTGTTAAAATAGACTGTACCCCCTACTGGATATCAGAGGATGGATAATCAGAGGATATCAGAGTCTGTGGAAATCTAATAAAACATAAACAGTGTATTTGCTATTGGAATGAAAAGTAGCAAACCAGGACTGTTTCCTTGCAAAAAGGATATCTTAAAGCTTTCTAAGTACTTAGTACATTTATGCTTTGGTAATGTTAATATCTCTCGAGAAGTGAAACTCCAGTGAACCTTTAGAATAAAAGCAGAATACAAGGGATAGGTGGACATTATACCACCTTGAACTTAAAATGACTTTGTAGAAGAAACTTCTGTCCTTTTGAGTATTAGATATTATTAATTAATTAATGAACCTTGACAGCAAAATGGGTTTGAATCAATTTTCACCATCTCTATATGTTCTGGGGACTTTTTAGTAGAAATGAGAATGAAAAACATGGCACCTTGTAGTGTAAATGAATCAAATGTGCCTATTCTCCTGGTATGTCTGAAATATTGTTTCTGAATTGATTTGTCAGATACAGCTGTGATGCTCAGAGCTGCTAAGTTACTAGATAGAACATTAAAAATATGCTGCAGAATTTTGCCAAGAGCATAGGAAGAAACAATGGAAACAAAACAATGGGAAGAAACAACATACTCTATGGGGGATTATATCCTTGCAAATTCATTCAGGTATAGCCAAGAAAGAACTGAATTTTAAGGCAAAGCTAGTTAGATAAAATATTAATTCTGTAAGTACTAGTTTTAGAACCCATATGAACATTGTATAATGACAAAAAAGATTCTTCTGTTTTCAGAGATAAGAAAAAGTGCCTAACAAGTGCCCATAGGTCCTTTTGCATGTACCACAATTTGAAGAGGGCTGAATCTCGTCATCTGCTTGCCAATTAATGTTACATTTGAGAAAGAGCTCCCAAATATCTGCCCAGCATATTCAGGCCCAAGGCATTCCAGATGAGATAGGTTTAGGGTTGTTGGTTACAGGATGCAAATATAAAAAGATTTGCACATCTCAAACTTGCTGATATTAGCATTGTATCAGATGAAATGAAATGGTTTTTTTAAAGGAGACTTTATATTTGAGCTGATTTCCCTATTGATGATTAGATCATCCTCACAGCCACTTCAGTGTTCTATTAAAGTATTTTCTTAGGAACAAACTGCTACTTTTAGGGTCAGAACAAGTAGAGGGCTATATTCTTGGATAGGATACTCCTGCTCCCCAACGCTCCAAATCAAATCTGCTTCTCCCCACATAATTTTATCAAAACTGTGGTTTCTTTGTCACAGTAGGTTATAATATTGCCAAGATGGAAAAGTGGTGTATCCAGAGAAGTTATGGAGAGATTAATGTCAGTCACATTCAGCCCAGCCTTAGATTTCTAAAATTTAATATTCCACTTGCTCCCTTTAAATTTGTGAGAAATAGCTTGTGTTTGACCTTCACGTAAATGCAGGAGAAATAATTCTCAATTCCCAACCTCCATTCTTGCTTATGATGACTCAGTGAGTTGTTAATCAGATGCAGTGTAAGAGATTAGACCTTTTGCACATGGCCTGTTTTTGGACTCGAGATGGGTGAGGCATCTGTAATGTGTGTACTTGCAGATGATGGAAACGTGTTAAAGATGAAGTAGCCCCATGTAGAGATTAGGCCTGTCTGAGTATTTTTCTTTTTTCCCAAGCAGCCAACACTGGGATTGTCAATCACACCCATTCCCGGATGGGATCCATCATGAGCACAGGGATTGTCCAAGGTAAACCTGCCCTTGGGCTTTTTTGGAACTGAGGGGAAAGTGGCCCTGTGTGCTCTCTTCTCCTCTGTAGGATTTTGAACACTTTGGCTGAGAAAAGCAGCAGGCAGCATGTTGGGTTGAGAAGGGGCAAATACTTTTACAGTACATTTTGAAACTGACATTATCCCTGAAATTGAAACTAAGCTAGATGAAATTCTAATGGAATAAATTCTACTAGCTCGTTTTGGCATCAGTCCAGTTTGTATCAAGGCAGGTTTTGGGGCACTGTGACTATTGACTGGTTTATTCTGGCTTGAGTTTTCAGGGGCAAGAGCCTTTATCTTTGGTGCGTAATGTGGACTAGAACTGAGTTGAACCCATTGGCATCTTGTCAGTCCATGTAAAAGAGGTAGCAAGCTCTTCCTTATAGATGAAGCTCTAAGACAGCATATTCCCTCTTTTCTATTACCCCCATCCTCCCATGCCATTAAAACTACATTTTGCCGGTTATATTACAAAGTGTGAGGTTTTGATTTTAAATTGAAATTTGTTAGATCAGGAATGGATCTGGATCCATTTTTTAAAAACAGATGGCTAGTTGTGCTTAGACATTTTTGCTGAAAACTAGAATTCCTTCTGCTATATCCAGCTGAATGTTTTTCTCTCCTGCTACAGGCTCATCTAGTGGCCAAAGTGGAGGAACTTCAACTGCTCATTACCCAGTCAACAGTCAATTTACTATGGGGGGACCAGCCATTTCTATGGCGTCCCCCATGTCTATCACCACCAACACAATGCATTATGGGAGCTAAGAAACCCTCATCCCTGAACTGACAGCATCAGGAAACCAAATGAAGAAAAAGTACCACCTCCCCACTGTATCTCATCAGTTGGCAGTCAATTCTTTGGATCTCTTCTGCCCTCCAATAGGTTACCCAGAGATGGTCCAATCCTTGTACAATAGAAGACAAAAACCCACTGGCTTAATAGCGGATTTGTACACATTTTTCATGAAATGTTGGAAATCTCAACTTGCTCAACCACGACTGAGTTCCTGTGCTTACTGAGTCTTACAACCTATCATGTCAGTAATAGTATCATTCTTCAATCTGCCATGACTGATTTGCATTAGGCACAGGCTTAGATCTGAACTGCCATAGGGCCTCTAACATGCTCTAGGCAGTCCACCAACAGAAACTTGATCATTTATTGCTACACTCCCAGTATTTTAAATGAAGGGGCTGCAGCTGGCTGTAGAATGGGCACAGGTAAGAATCCAGCAGCATATCCATGTCGATTTCTTAGGCATCCCAGGCTCTGGGCTAGTGTTTGTAGCATTATTAAGACTTAGGAGGAATATCTCCTGGGAAAGACAAAGACTTATCAACTTCCTGGCTTTCAGAAAAGCTCCAGCATCTTACTGTTGTAAGTCTTGGGCCATGTGAAAAGTATCCAAGATGAAAGAAGACTGTTTTATATGCCACAAGCATCTTATCAGCAGGTCTGATGATTGCCTGTCTCTTGGGAATATTGATGTAGCATCAAAGGGTTAAAAAATTTAAAACACAAATGTACCAAAAAATACTGTTGCTGGCTGAAAATGGTTTGTGTATCAATTTCCTGTTGCTCATTTTAAACCCAATCCTATTTTCTGGTCTATTCTTAAGGTGTGACAGCAGCTATGATTAGTTCCTCCCTTCTGGGCAGAAGTGGATGCCAAATGGTTTAGTATGTAGACTTGTCTGCTTCCCACAGTAACCACCAGGGGACTCTAAATAGATTGGCAGCTATTATGGGGTCCCTTTGTAGTACTTTTATGTGTAATTTGTAACTCTTTCTTTTTTCCTTCCAAAGAGCCTCAAGCCAATATTTCTTAAAGGACTTGACAAGTAACTGTTTTATGGAGGAGAAAAGTGGTTTACTTAAGGCAATGTTCTTTGGGTCCCAATAGTGGCTGAATTGGGGGAAGGGGTGGGACCATTCTGGAGAACCTTCATAGTGGCTGGATTGTGGGTCTATAAAGCCAATTGTTGGTTCTGGCTGATCAACGATTTTGTGACTATTGAATAAAACTGGGAGGGTTTTGAAGATGTTTGTAATGGCTGGTTTCCCAATCTCAGGTTTAGATGAAACAGCTTAAAATTTTATTTGTATTCACACATCCACTGGACAATCCTGTTTTGAACTGCAGTTGAGAGAAGTGCCTTCCCAGGAGAAATGTACCTCAAATGATTTGACTTCCCTTACATTGCTAAAGAGCTGCCTGTTTCTTTCTTCTAGTCATAGTTAAGAAAGTTTAGGAAATTAACTTGTTTCCTGTTAGGCTTCTTGTGGCTACCTTTGACGTGATCACAAGTCACACTCAGACAAGTCCTGGATACAGCAGAAGTACTGGCTTTTTAACAGACATCCCTGCAAAGATCTGCTCTATATTAATATAGGAAGTTAAGAAAAAGCTTTCCAGAGATGGTAGTTTAATTCAAATTAGCCTTGCATGCCAAAGAAATTAAATGGCTACATTAATTTTAAGTGATCTTTTGGCTTATATGAGAATTTTACTTGTATAGTAATTATTTGCTAAACCCACAGGAATGCACCTATTTAATTAAATTTTCCTGTCTTTTTCTCTGTTGCAAGTGACTAGGATTTAGCTGAAATAGATGTAAGGGATTCATGCAGCCCATCTCTTCTGTCCTATTGCAACAGACACACACACCGCTACAGCAGAGCAAATGGCAGCTGCATCAACCAAAGCAGCTCTGAATATTTAGAATTGTCAGGCCTCACAAGTGGCTTCTAGTGTAAGCTGCTTCCTAAATCAGGTGAACTGCTGGTGTGCTCTGCCTGGCAGCAGCAAAACAGTGAATTTTGAAATGGTAATATATGACTTTGCTTGGCCCACTAGCAGGATCTTCTTCCTGGTCAGGGTTTTTATGTCTCTTGAGTAGGGTGTCTTGAGTGGTCTATTCTTTCTTCCCTGATACTGGATATTCAAGATTGATGTCTGTAAAAGAAGCAATTCAATAGAACAAATATTGGGGAGCGATCCAAAGGTCAAACCTTTCCAAAAAGTGTGATTCTGCATTTCCATTAATATGGATGAGTAAGGGGATAGTAATATTTGAATTAAAATACCTGCATATTTTTCAAAGTCTAGTGCAGGGTGTTATCAGATTCCTTTTCCCTCTGCTGCAGTAGGTGAGGGTGTATGCTTCTGCTGTTGAGTTGCTGTTGTATAAGCAATAGGAATAGAAGATGTGATCCTTGGTTTCTGAAAAAAATAGAGCTTCAAAAAGACAAGATTAAATTGGTTGAAGCAGGAATCAAATAGGATTCTCCACCCCGCCCCCACCACCAATAACCTGGATTTCATCATAGTCATTGCCCAATTTCTTAAAATGTTCAAAGGAGCAAAGAGCAGCTTTTTTATTTCAACCCCTGGCTTCACAAATACTGCTCATTCTTCTTTCTCTCACCCTACCCCTCCCAACCCTAACTCTTACTCTTCACGATAGTCTGATGAGTAACACAGTGTTCAAAGATGTTCAGTGTTCTAACATCTTACACTTTGCAATTTGCAACTACACACTTTGAAAGCATTTAACCTTTATTTTCGACTTAGAGACATGCATTACAGATACTGCATTTGGCCCTATTAAAAAGACTGAATCCTAACAGAAAAAGGATGATTATACAGGAAAAAAAATATATACTCTTAACTGAAACACAAGTCAAACTCTTTCATAAAATATACTCATCTTTTGCTCAACAAAAACCTAATGATGCTTATTGTCCAATCGTCTGTTTCTCTCAGCAACTGAAATATACTAGTACAGAACAGAAGATACAAACCTTGCATCCAATAGCTAGAAGGATATGAAGAGAAACAATAATGGCCATTATAACACAAGCAGCTGGCTTGCTATCTGAACGGATAACTGGCCAGAAGGTAAGGACCAGAACTGAGCCTGACAACCCTATTGCAACTATGATCAGGAGCCACTGCAGCCATGGGATAGGGATTAGCCACAGAATCTATGGAGGAAGATAAGAGTGAATCAATGTCAAAATTTTCAAGGTCACATTGAAGAATTCATCTTTCCCAAAAAGTGGCAATTCTTTCCAAGAATATATTCTACAGAAAATGAATGATAAATCTGCCAAATGCCTGACAACTTACCGCAGTAGGAATGTACACAAAGAGTGAGTAGCCATAAATGCACACCATTTCCAGAAAAGAATACACATCAGTGGTGACATGGGCTCCCTTTCGCCAATGTAGATAGCCCCACAGACCTAAGGGTACCAGCCAGGCATAGCAATAGATAACTATGCCTGCAATAGTCACTGCACAAGAAGAAAACTCTTATTAAATGCACCATTCCCTAGCAAGAACTAACATTGAAACTTGTCATAGACTTCTATCATATCTAGAAAGAGAAGGGAATGGGAATTCATAGAATAAACTATGTTTTATAATAGTCTGTAAAGCACTCCTTTATTATAATTTTGATTTTTTTTCTCCACCTTTATATAAAATTCAAGATGGCAAAAGTGCCTAATATTCCTGCTTCCTATTTTTCCTGCACACCCCTGTGAGGTGGGCTGGGCTGAGAGATAATGACTGCCCAAAGTCACTAGATAGTTTTCATGCCTAAGGCAAGCTCAATTTTTTTTGGTGTCTGGGCAAACTGTTTCTCAGTACTGATAAATAAACAATATATCAGTTCGTTCCAATTCTAAGGGGATTAAATAAAGATTGGGAGGCAGGATTTATATGTTTTTAATCATGCTCTTTATTTGCACATTTTAAATACAAGACAAGGAGATAGTTCTTTACTTCTCATAGCCAAAAAAGATATTCATCAATATGCATGAATCAGGAGCCATGGTGGCGCAGTGGTTAAAATGCAGTATTGTAGGCTAACTCTGCCCACTGCCCAGGAGTTTGATCCTGACCAGCTCAAGGTTGACTCAGCCTTACAAGTAGGTAAAATGAGGATGCAGATTATTGAGGGCAATATTGTAAACCACTCAGTGTGTCTTGTAAAGCACTATGGAGTGGTATATAAGTCTTAAGTGCTATTTCTGTGTATCAAAATACTCAGCAGGCAACAAAAATATTTTCCCACTTATTTATCTTGCCTATTCTTGATATACCTACACTTATACGAACTAGAGTCACTCCACAGTACGATGGGTGGATATAAATTTATGTGTTTTTGTATATCAATTATACACAGAAAAACAATTAGCAGTATAATTCAACCAGTAATATACTAGCCTCAGAAGTTTCTGGAAGTACTTCCAAATCGAAATCTCACCTTTGTGGAATTGAGGGCTGTAGTGGAAGGAGGAGTTCCCTCTTTTTTCCAGGAAGTAAGATAAGTTACCGCTGATGGCTAATGTGAATACCAATGTGGCACAGATCCAGAAAGGTCCTGTGAGGAGCAAAAGAGCCAACACCAAAGAAAAGAACAAAAGTATAAGGAGTCTTGAAAGGAATAGGCATCTTAGCAGAGAATGCAATGGAAAAAAGAAAGCCATTTTTATAATAAAACAAAGCAAACATTGCAACATTGCAAAGCAAACATCTATAATAGAACAAACATTGGGTATCAGTAGATTTTTCCACCTTCCTTAATTTTATGGAAAATAGGGTTTGAGGACAGATAGGATCAACAGCACTAAAGCTACATTCCCATTATCCGGGATAAGGAAAAGGAGAAATGACACCATTCAACTGAAATGTTATAGGGTTTCCTGTTTGAGCAGTGAGTTGGACTAGAAGACCTCCAAGGTACCTTCCAACTCTATCATTCTGTGGCCAAATAAATAATATATTATTGGAGTAGGAACTTCTCTGGACTCACCATAGAGGTCAGGATTGTTCTGCAAGTGATGCCATACAAAGTTTTTCCCTGGTAGCGGAAATAGGGAGCCTTTTATTCTGTCCAGCACCTGATAAATAGGAAAAGACCATGCTTCAGCAATTTAACTCCCAAATTCTCTATAAATGTGGGGATGCCCAACTTGTTGGTGCCAGGATGCTTACAAAAACTTCCCTTAGCAACCCACTTCCTATCTTAATATTCTTGTATTAAAAATGGCATGGTTGAAAGCCAACGGCCAGTTTTCAGCAGAATATTTATTTCATCAAATGGACCCCATAATGCTTGCTTAGGAAACTTTTTAAAATATGCCCATCCATTGCTCAAATAGCAAAGGTAAGCAGGGACAGCAAAGAGGTTTCTCTATGGAGGCAGAGCAGCGGAAATAGCTCTTTGTATTCCAGTGAACTGGGATGTGTTTAGCAGATATGTTCCTTATAAAACTGATTTGTGCATGAGCATGCTCAGCAGCAATTTTCAAGAGCACTTTCAACTGTTTTTATAACTGCCCCCCCCCAAGGATTCCCTGATAAATTTAATAGGTATCCAAACACATCCAGATCTATCAGACCGCAAAAGACCACTGGAGGCCTTGAACAAACCCTCACACTTGGACACCATTGTTCCTATTGATGCTATAATTGCAGAGGAAATCCATGTATATTCATTTTAAAATTATTTTTATAACCAACAGAGTACCTCAAGTGAATTTCAGCTATTGAAAATATATCTTAAAAGGAAAATTCCTACGCTGAATTAATAAGAGTGCAATGACAATTCTTGTTTTCACAAACTGATCTTGAAACCAGATTCACAGCACAACACAAACAGTTGAATTGCAGGGCTCTGCTTCTGACCAGGAAATTAAATAAGCAGAACAAAAAAATATATTTGATTACCCAGTCCTTATTTTTTTGCTTTAAGAAACCATATATGTGTGTGTGTGTGTGTGTGTGTGTGTGCATATAACTCAAGGGAGCAAACATATCCAACAACTTTTTCTTCCTATTTGCTCCACAACAACCCCGTGAGGTGAATTGGACTCAAAAAGATTGACCCAAAGTCACCCAGCTGACTTTTATGGCTAAGGTAGGACTAGAATTCAGTCTCCCAGTTTCTAGCCTGGTGCTTTAATCACTAGACTAATACATTTTTCATTGTAGCTGTAATTCCACTATCAGTTCCCTATCAATGACCTCAATGATTACAGACCAGTGGCACTCACTCCTATCATCATGAAGTGCTTTGAGAAATTGGTCTGCCAGCACATCATTTCTGGCCTTCCGCGTACATTTGATAAACATCAGTTTGCATACAGAAAAAACAGATCTACAGAGGACGCTATAGCCATCACTCTTCACACTGCTCTGACTCATCTAGAACAGCAGGGGGGGGGCGCTATGTGAGGATGCTTTTTGTGGATTTTAGTTCTGCGTTTAACACAATTCTTCCACATAGACTAGTGTCTAAACTTCTGGACCTTGGGCTTTCTAATTCAATCTGCCTTTGGATTATGGATTTCCTGTCCGGCCGCTCACAGAGGGTTAGCTAATCATACCTCTTCAGCCCTTATTCTTA